AATCAACTGAACTTTTGAAAACGAAAAATAACATGAAATCCAATAATGGATTGAATAACGAGCTATTCGGGGGGGCGCGTTTCATGTCTTTTGTCTGTAAAACTGGGGAAAGAATAATCGCTCCGCAGAGCTACAATAGCTTGTAAAACGACGCCAACATTAAGGAGATTTCCCAGCTGGCATTTGATGAGTGAACATTGATAATATGAAGTAATAGCATTTTCACAATCATGATTGTCAAGGGTTTAAGTTGGGGTAAGTTAAGTACTTTATTGTGTCATTATTTCCACAGAAAAATAATGCATATAAGGTACTGTGCAATATATTTTTTTAATTTATTCTTTATTATCAGCGAATAACGAGTTGTCGCAAATCGTGGCACGGCGTTCTTGAGAAGTTTTCCGCTTCAATAAGTATTTGGCAAAATAAACAAAGTCTGCGTTGATTCTAGTTTCCCATTATATGCATATAAGGTACTGTGCAATATTTTTTTTTAATTTATTCTTTAATTATCAGCGAATAATGAGTTGTCGCAAATCGTGGCACGGCGTTCTTTGCTTCAATAAGTATTTGGCAAAATAAACAAAGTCTGCGTTGATTCTAGTTTCCCATTAAAGTTTTAGTTAATGTTCTAGTTAACCTTAGACATTCCCCCCATTTTTAAGCGCATAAAACCACCCCAAATTTTCAATTTTCAATCAATTTTCAAATATAGCTAGCCCGACTTCACGTTCTAAGAGCGTCTAGGTATCATTGTAGAAGTCCAAATGATGCTACTCGGGCCGCAAATAAACAATATGTCCTCATGTTATTGCCTTAGATTCATTTCCTGAATCCTGTTTACTTTTTATATTTTGTAAAGAAAGTTGTAAAGAAAGATCTACATAATTTCATAAAAAAGGCACACAATTCCTTTTTCAAAAATAAAATCAAAAAGCATAAATTATAAGAATTATAAAAATCGAACATATCATCAACAAAAAAAAAATATTCGTTTTATTACATCCTCAAAGAAAGAAAGAAAAACAAAGTGTTTCCGCCCGGGCTCGAACCGGGGACCTTGTGCGTGTTAGGCACACGTGATAACCACTACACTACGGAAACATTCCACGTGCAGTACGTGTCAATGTTCAATATTTATACCTATTTTTAAAACATATGATTCGAGTGGAGTACACACATACTTTTAATCATTTTAAGAAGTACTCATTAGCTGCAGTTTTGTGATGTAAATAAAGAGTATTTCATCTCGAGTTTATAATTTAATACTGGTGCAGCACACAATATCAAAAATTGTATTTAGTTTTTATAGAAATTAAAAATTGATTCTATATAAGACTGATAGCTTTATCATATGAAATCAGCWGTTTAGCAAACACTATCAGAATTATGTAAGAAATCAATGGATTCATGAAGAAAATTCGACTCGCTTCCCTTRTGTTGGTCTCCCTGTGGTACTCAAAACAACAACTTTGCATTTGGTTGTTTTGGAGGAGTTTTAGAACAACTATCACCGTTTAAGAATATAGTGTATCAATGTAAACAACTATCTCCGTATTTTCTTTTTAATATAGGAGTATTCTCGTAGCTCGAGCCTTCGCTTTTCTTGGCCGACGTCGCCGTCCACAAAACTAAACAACTACGATGGGAACGATCATATTCTTGTCTAGCACGATATCTAGGCAAAAAGGCAAAAAGGACCCTTGAAAAACGGAATARTCTAAATTTCGACTTTGTGGTGCACTGGATAAGTGGGAATCACGTCTTTTGTTTTGGTCTTCAGTTAGAGTCGAAATCGTCTTTTGCAAATCGAAATTCCACGTTTTTTGAAATTGGCCACCCTACATCTTTATAGCATTTTTGGATTTTTGTTTTCTAGAAGGCTGTACAGATCTAGCCATAGCCCCCTTTTCGAGACCGCAGCATAGCAAACACAGATTTCTCAGAAGAATATGAATCGACGTGATTGACAACTTCTTATATCTGTTATATGGTGTACATGTACAATTTTTAAATTGTAATAATATTAATAATTAAATGTTAATTTTTAAATTGTAATAATATTAATAATTAAATATTAATTTTTAAATTGTAATAATATTAATAATTAAATATTAATTTTAATAATTTTAATATTTTTAAAATATTAAAATATTTTGAAATATATCAGCCTCAAAAACAACCGAAAATCAAAAATAAATCGCGGACAAAAAAGGGCTAAAAGGTTAAGCGGGTTTATCGTCGTGCGACCATCGCCTGATCTGGCCTGAGTTTCGAACATGCTTGAAAATCGTACGATTTTAGTTGCGCGATAGCAAAGTGGCGTTTATCGCGCTGCAAAAATCTTTAGTGTAAACCCTGAGGATATTAGTATCAGTGAATCAGGACASTCGAAATCCCGTCGAAATATGGTTTAAATCTTCTTTCTGACCACTGTATATCATTTATGTCTCGTGCACAATGGGTATCTTTAGTTATAAAACTAGACGCATGGCTGCGTGAACTCGGGGTTCTCATAGCTGATTTTATGTCGAAAATGATGTAGTGCAGATCACGCAGCTTTGAGAAAATAATTTATTTTGTTTTACTCAGTATAGTCGTTGATAGTATTGATATCAATCTATTAGGGTATAATACAGTCAAGTTTAATTTGCTTTACTGCAATGTACTTAGCATTAAGGAAGAATTGATAGTCTTTGTCAAGCTTTCCTCACTTTGATAGTCACATGGCAGGCTATAAAGACAGAGTCTTTTATCCTCTCTGCTAAATAAAATAGTTGAAATCGTCGGTTTTTCCTCAGTAGAATTCTGTTCGCATTCCTTAGAGAAGTCCTTTATAGTTTTAGATCCTGTAGAATCAGTTAGTATAGAGTTCGCTTTTGATAAGATTGGTAGCTTGTTTGATAGATAGTTCACGATAAATTTCACGATAAATTTCTCGATAAATTCGCGGTATCTCTCAAAATGCCCTTTCGAAAAACGCTCGACATCTTTTAGTGTGGCTATACCGCGAATGGTGTGTGGATTTGTAATGAGATTTGAGCGTGTTTGAAGTTGAATTCATGTCTTCCATCTCGTATAAAGACGACACCTCGACGACACCATGTAAAGATAGCACATGGAAGTTGTGAATGTCACGTGATTCGTACCCAGTGCATTCTGATTTGGCCGAGACAATTTGTGTACCAAATGCGACAAAGAAGGCCGAAACCTAGACTCGGCGGTTCCACAGGAACCCCGAGTAACTAGACGATCATGGATCGCTTACGTGGGCTTCCTGTGACAATGGTGTTTCATTTTCACAATATAGTCTTTGTTTGTAATAAGTCAAGACAGAATTAAGTTAATATGTTATCAATTTATTACATCATAATTTTTTACCGAACTGAACTCTAAGTAAATTGGATACCATGTCTTTCTCAGTTTTCCAATAACTAGCTCGACTTAACGCTCAAGAGTGTCTATATTATTCAAAATATCTGATAGGTCATATAGGTCACATAAACAATAGAAACGGTACAGTCTTGGCAGTATAACTTTGAATAATGATCATTTTAATCATTAAACACATCGTTAGTTTAGAAAATGGCATCAATATTTTTCAGATGAGATTTGATATGCTTTCTTCCATCGAATGATTGTTTTCTGTCAAAGTATGAACGTTAAATATCCATGTGATTTCTTATTTTTGAAGATTTTGTGTTTGACATCGAACACTTGTGTGTCGAAGAAGTAGTGCTCTTCGAGTCGGCGGTAGAAAATGCCCAGTCATTCTGCACGAATCATCCGCTAATCTTGAATTATATACCTCAATCCATGTCGTTTGGATGGTAATCAGTTGATTTTGTAAGATTTTCAGCTCTTTAGAGCATTTTAGCTACATTAGAACCATTTGAAATGAGACAACTTTTTACCGCCGTCTGTCAGCCATTTTGTTTTTATTCTGAGACTGCAGTCCATCTGCAACGCAGGCGCTACCAAAAATCGCTGATTGGTTTACTTGACATCTCCATGGAAACTGAGACTGCAACGCATGCGCTATCGATGCGCTACCAATTTGAAGCGTAATATTCACCACCACGACGACCACGACGAAATCGCCAGTTGCATTTTAAGACGTGGACTTCCACAGGAAGCCCACGTAACAAGCACACGCGAGTCGAGTCAGCTGTAGCAACGCAAACTTTCACTAAAGACGAAATCAGATGCAAGAGGTGGCTTACTCATCTGGACCCAAGTGTAAAGATACGAAAACTTTCAGGAGGAGGTGACGGGGTCTGTTCTGCTAAATAACTGTTCTTGTATGAATTTGTTCCTGAGAAAGTTTTTCAAGGTCCAAAAAAGGCTTTATGCTTTTATGGTCAAAAACGACTTTGACGTTACTTTTGCTTGATATGTCAAATAAATCTTCAAGATGTTTTTCAGCTTGTACATCTTCAATTTTTGTGATAAAATTGAAAAAATCAATAGTTGAAAAAAAATTCATATCTTGGTCAATTTCAATCCCACATCAACGAGTCTTTGAATTTAGATTTCCATTAGTACGTTTCGTTTCATAATGGATTTTTTAAAAAAAGATAACCTAACACTGAGCTTGACTAGCAGATTAAAAATGATCAGTGTTGTTGATAAACCTTCTTAAAACTGAAAAGTAATATCAACATCATATTTAAATTGCCAGTTAAAGTTGTTTTTCTCATTTTCTACAATTATGGTTGTTATTTAGGCGAATTTAAGATAAAAAAATAGCTGGATTCCCTGTGTAATTACGTCATTATCTGTAATGACGTCACAGCTAATCCTGCCTACCCCTCCCCTTACAAGTATGTACGACTTACCAGGTGCATATTATTTCTTCGTTTCAGCATCCATGCAGTTTTCATGTTAGTTGTTGTAGACTTACTTGTAATAAGCAATCTTGTTTTAACCAGGATTTTGCTATTAAAGCCAGACGAGTGGAATAGCTCGGCGGAGCAGTTCCAAAATCTGCATTAGGACATCTACTAGTGAAGGACTCCACTTATATTTCTCTTATACTGTTTTACAGCCTTGACATTGTATTTTGATGTATTATGAGCGATATAAAAATCATGAAATTATCAACAAACCGCAAGCGAAACGTTCCGAGCATGCTCTATTGAGTCTATTGACTTCACACGTCATTCCTTGGCACAGGGAACCCATTATTTTCTTTAAATGAAAAAAAATTAAAACGAACCTAATTTTCGACAGAGACATGATATTAAAAAAAACGTTTTTTGACAAATCAAAAACTCACATGAAGTTGTCAAAGTCACGATTTAGCTTCATTTACTCCTTCATTTTCAAAGTTTTGAGTTTTTAACTAACTACTCAATTTGGTTTGCAAAGATTTCTTTTAAGCAAATAAAAATTAATATTTTGCTAAGATTTCTATTTTACTAGCTAGCACTAGCCACATGCAGTCCTAGACTGCCATTTCTTTCTATTTGTAGGCCAATGGATCCTGCTCGCCAGTGTTTTCCAATGCGCATATAATAGTAATAAAATTGAAATTTGAAATCGAGATCTTTTCAACACTCGAAGATAAAATCCGTATCTCCGCGCGCCCATAATATCCTCTATGATGATTAGAGAATTAGGGCATATCATAAAGATTTCTACATTTACCACAGTTTTCACTAAGAGTTGCCCGGTTAGCTCAGTCGGTAGAGCATCAGACTTTTAATCTGAGGGTCAAGGGTTCAAGTCCCTTATCGGGCGTTCAATTTTTTTTTCTTTTGGTTTTATTCATTCATTTCGTTCCGTTAGAATATTTTGGTATTTATTTTTTAGCAAGTTTAAGTTTATTTTTATAACAATATATTTCTGGTAAAGAACTAGTATATATTGTGGGTAATGATGACCAGCGGCGCGCAGGGGAGATCATTGCCTGTGACGTCTAGTGACTTTATTTGAATTCATGGTAAAGCTTTAGTATAACTTTTATAAACTTGCCGAGGGATTTTACAGCCAGGGCTCCGAATCGTTTTCCAGAATAGACTCCACTAGTGAATAGGCATTTACGACTGGTACTTGGTGATCTGTGAAATGTGTTGTGTAGAAGTCWTAATCACTAAGCAGTATTACTTGACCACCAGCAATTGTTTCAACCTTCTCTGTGAAAAGTTTCAAATTTCATTTTCAGTATTTTTCGTGTTTATCCATTAGAAAAGCTACTTGTGTGAGATGGTTTTCGTTGGTCTTCATAAAATTACAGAAGAAGAAGAAAATGTCTGCAGGTTGTAAGAGACGCCTCCTACCGAGTTTGTTTGTTTTTTAAGCAAGGWCTATTTTGTCTGTGTCGTTCCAAATGAGTGCCTCTTTGAAATATGTCATGTGCTTTGAATTACATACAATGCAATAAACATAGAATAACTGACGTTATCAACCTCATAGCAATATAGCCTCGTGATCAAAAACAGAACCGAAGACAGCAAACGTTTTTTTGCAGCCACAAAACAACTTTTAATTGCAGGTGTTGCACAGTACTGGTTGGTAAGTTGTTGTTGTAAAAGTGTGGAAATGTTGTTCATATCATTGCTATGAAAAACCCAACGTACACTCAAGGAGGAGACTTCGACTATTATTGTTCTTTCGATTTTTATCGTAGGKCTGAATCAGTGAAATATATTACTACAAGTGCAATGCAGTTTTAGTGTAGACATGATGCAAAAAAAGTCTTTTGTTTACATTCACTTTTTATCACTGTTTGTTTATGTCAGTGCTGTTGCTGTTGTTTCTTATCCATTTAGTATTTTGATAACTGTGTGCTTAGGTGAGACAACTTTCATAACTTGAATTCCAACAATAACGATTAGCACTTATACAGTAATTGCTAAAAAAGTGGGGAAAAAATTGATCCTATTCTTTTCAACATCCTTAATCCGACAYTGCATCCTCTTTTGAAATTATCTTTTTAAACTCAATTGTAAACTCTCACATCTTAATTTGTCCCCCACTAGACCCTGCGATTTTATAGCATTTTGGCATATACAGCAATTTTAGAAAACGTTGAATACTAAAGTAGTGTATTCCAAGACCCAAATGCATTTTGATCTTTTTTTCGTCGTTGCCAGAGTGACTATACCAGCTCCGGTCAGTCAAAAACTTCAAATGGAAAGAAATTAATTCTAAAATTGCAGTTAATAAACGTAGTTAACGTGGAGTTAGTAACAATTAACAATTGCAGTCTTGGAATGAAGTACCGTATGCAGTATTCCTGTATACAGTCGATTTTTTAGATATTTTGGTTCAGTAAAACGTGAACAAAAGAACTGAGGGCGAAGCTCGGTAGAAACAATCGATTGTCCTAATGTGATTATTTTCTTTCCAATTAGTTGAGCATTGTGCATGAACCAAAATGTCTGAAATCTGCTATTTCAAGAAGGTTGTTTGTGGATTGTTGTTTTGTTTGCATTGTGGTTGTGCACATATTCACATACTGTATCYATTGAGGTTCGTAAAATACCTAATGAAATGGAAGGTGGATATCTTTTTAATAACTGGACAACAGCATGTTATTCAGTGCAAGCAATCTAGATCTTGCGGCACTGAATGTTACAATAAACACTGTTATATTTATAATATTTGCTTTCCAATGCTCCCTTTAGTTCTCAGTGTAACCTTTTTGAACTTGACTAAGTTTGTTTAATTTGGTGAATAAGTCTGATGCATTTTACCAATCAGAAATGGTCAATTGTCTGGTTTAATTCTTTCATTCTTTCAAAATAAACCGATTACTTATTGGGTTTAAGTTCTTTACAGATCAATAGTGGCAGTCGTTCTTCACAATTTCTGAAGAAGTCGTGATGATGGAGAGCTTTCCTTTTCCAGCTAAGCACACCAAGATTGGTTTTCTATGTGGTGTCGTTCTGTTTTGCATTTTCATCTGTGGAGTTAACTCAAATTCGATCAGCTTTGTAAAAGTCCTTAACKATGAGGGAGAAGGAAACTTGAATCACTTTTCTAAACGCTTCATTTTCAATGATCAGTTTGATGATGATAAGATGAAAGTGAAAAAGTATCTGTCAAGAGATGTGATTAAAGAACATCTGGACGGTTTGGTCAAGGATTTACGTGAAAAAAAAATTTTGGTGACGACTAAAATTACAGGCACCGAGGTAAGTATTTTATACACCAGCAAATTTTAACACCATCAGCCACGGCTGCAGGTCGAAACTTTTTAATGAGCTGAAGCAAACTAGAAACATATTTCTAAACGCTTCATTTTCAATGATAACCTTGATAATGATATACACCTAATTTGAGAAACGTTGTCGGGTCCAAAAATGTCAAATCATAGAAGCTAAGACCGAAAAGGTACTTGGGAAGGCAAACAATTGGGCTAATTTTATATGCGTCCTTTACGCATATATACGCACGTGCGTACTAGCAATGTACTAGTGGAAAGGAATTTTTACAAAAATTACTGAAAAATTCACATAAAATTGATTCCTTTTATATGCCCTCGATGTCTCTTAAAACGCTGGAAATCCCATTTCCAAGAGTTATCATTTCAAAATATTCTGGGAGAGGTCCAGACTCCCTTAATACTCCGCCTTTGGCTGTCGTTAGACTCCCAGATCCAAAATATGTGTTGTGGCATGGTCCCTGACATGTGCGTACTAGCCAAAAAGTCCACGCTAAGTGCCTGCAAGATGGAAGAACGGAAGGGTGGTCAGAGACCTTTCTTTTGACTTGTATTTCTTTTTTTTCTTTCTTTCTTTCTTTTTTTAAATAGATTACAGAGGAATTTACGGCAACGCATGTGACATTGAAAGAAGTTTTGTACTTGCTTCAGTTTTTCCCCTTGATATACAAGGGTGTGAAAGAGGCTGTTGTCTTCCGAATTCCAATCRAAGGGAAGTATATAGATCTAGGAATGAAAAATCAGGACAACTCTGAATGCTTCAAAGCTGCTCTTCTCATATCAGATGGCAAAATGGGCTTTGATCCTGAGGACCTTGCTCCAATCAACTCTATTGCAGAAGATTTGCAAAAGGCTGCTAAAGATAAAATATTAAATGATGTAAAAAATGGCCTACAAGCACTATTTGTTTCAAAACTWGATTCCCTTGGACATATTAAAGATACAAATATCTTTAAAGCAGGAATAAAGTTTCTCCTTTCAACCTCACTCCARCGAAAAGCACCTGATAGCCCTAGTATGGTACTCAAAGAACTTAACTTTAATGTAAGAAGTGAACTTGATAAATATACTGTTGAACAAGTTCAGGGAATAAACGAAGTAAAACTGAAGTACGAATTAACGTACAGTATGATGATGAAGGAAAGTTCTTACAAGACAGAATGGGAAGAATTGTCTAACAATGGTATTGTCGCCGTCACAGACCCAGACGAGTACATCACAATGTCAGTAAACCCAATGACAAATCAAGTTGATTTACGGACAATYTTCAAACTCTTACAATCAATCTTGTATTTTTCTCATGGTAAAGTACGATGTGTCGTTCCCATTGGTGGAAAGAATAGAATCTTTTACCTSTCTCGGGCAACAAGGGGGGACACTCAAATCCTGGTGCAATCTAATGATGCTGACTGGGCTCTACATGTGGACAATTCGTTTAGCGCACCAAGCTACAACGATATSATWMAKGATTTGAGTAATTTTCCCAATCAAAATTTGCTGGCCGACATTATGATACAAGCTTGCACTTTACCTCTTAATGCTCAACCAAAATTTGAGGACACATTGAAAGATYCGTTAATAATACGACGTGTTGTCGAATTCCTCGTGATAGCCATGGTTGCAGAAGCAGCAACACCAACAGACCTCGTCAAGAAAGTCTTTATCGAGGAGTTGGCTAGAAGTGCTGTCTTWAAAAAAYACTTTCCAGAATGGAACTCAATGCCGAAACTCGATGAAACTAGGAAAGACGTGAGAGGCAGCGGGAGAAGCCCGACCATGGATGATGTTGCTCTTAAGCTACTGTACATTATGAAAACTAACGGGGTTTGTCAGTCAAATTTCCTTTTTATAAATAAGATGTTAATGTGTAGTTGCTTTAATATTATTTTTAGACATATTACAAAGCGTTTGAATTTAGAATAAAAATGACCTTTGATAGGTTTTTAAAATTAACCATCAATCATAAACGCTGGAAAACCATTAGTAAGAGATAAATACCGAGAACGGAGGCAATAAGCCTATAAAGCCCTCGGGGCCGACGTTCGAGGTATTTATCTGTCTTATTTCATACTTTAAGAAGTTTTCCAAGCACTGCATTAATATTTTCATTTTTAAATAGGCACTGAGAAGCCTTTTTTATATGAATTAAAAACCAAAACCTCGATTAGAAAGGTTACGAGATTTACAGTATTGACAATTCCCAACGGGAATAATTTGCATAACCATTTTTCTCGTTAGTCCCATGAGAGCAATGCTAACAATACACCTTTTGTAACAAGTAACTGGACAATGTTAAATAACTGTTTTATTCCATAAYKGAYATCGRTTAGTCAGTTAGCATAACGTGTTAAGTATAGGATTTTCAAATCTAAGGTTGTGGGTTCGAATCTACTTTGTGTCATTTGAATTTTTCTTTCTTTCTTTTAAGTTTAAAGTTTCAGACGGAAAATTTCTAAGTTGAACGTAGTAGTTAATTTAATTAGGTATTCAAGGGCTATATACATTAGTATTCAAGTGCAATATCTAGATATATCCCTGAAACTTCGATATAAAGCACTTGAATACACAACGAGCTGTGGAATAAGCTAGATACAACACTATGAATAACAAAGAAAACTGAATCAAGTATGAAATAAGTGTAATCATAACGCTAAATGGTTTCTCTGTTGTTTTCAAGGGAAATATCAAGGATGTATTCAGTGTGGCTAACTTCCCCGTTAKAGACCAAGGAGGGGTAGCAAAAGGACGAAACTTTGTGTATGTCTATGGTGAAAGTGACATCCCATCCTTTTGGATTAGAAAGATGGCTGGTGAAATAGTGGAGGCTGCTGCAACATGTACATCACTCATACCCATATGATGCTCGTCCATAAGACTCTGGCACTGTAACATGAAATCTATATTTATTTATACGTGAAACTTATACATTACAAAATAGTACTTATTATAGCATGCTAATTCCTTTGTTTTCTATTGCTTAAAGTGCACATGACAACTTTTAAAAATCACTTTTATCCGAAAGTGTACATGCTGCCAGCCAAGCACTTTTGTGAAGAAAGAAATAGATTTGCAATTTTACTTTCTGAGTTATAGGCATTTGAAAATTGAAAATGCAAATGAAATGGTGTCAACCAAGGAATTGGTCCAGTCTTTTTACATTGTTTGTGTTATGTTGTTCTCGTGGTTGAAGAGCTCAAATCATCAATCATAGTAATAATTGAGAGCTGAAAATGCGTTTTCAATGTAACAAAAAGAATAACGTCCTCTTTCATGATTTTGTATATTAAATCATTCCTTAGTAGACGTCACTTCATTTGCATTTTCTAAGTTTCAATTGCCCATAACTTGGAAAATACAATTTCAAATTCTTTCTTGATCACAGATGTGGTACTTAGCAGCAATTTCTCTTCTAGATGAGAATTAATTTCTAATGGTGTCATGTGCATTTTAATCAGCACCATGTATAGTAGTGATTAATATTATTTATTTCACGGACTATATGTACGTCGACTCTAAGCACTTCTCAAAGTCATCATCTTTCATTGACTATAATAGAAATTATTATGTACAAGGATGAAAATATATTAGATAGTGTTATGAAATTAAAAACGTTTTCGACTATGAGTCATCTTCAGTTGTGTCTAAAAATTTTACATGTTTGCATTTATAAGGGGGGCTAAGATATCCCTGAGGGATAAAGATTTGCAATAAAGCATTTTACTTGTTTGTTAAGTGTCGGTTTTTCACGTGCGATAATGAGTCCTTCTATTATTTTAAGTTTGAATTCTGATTTTTCTTTGTGAATGATGTTCCAGGTGTAGGCTTGATTCGGATGACTTGAGATGTGGCGTGCTGGTTGAGAATTATGTGACGGGTCATGTTCAGTCTTGCGAACTTCAAAATTCCTTATGGTTTCTCCGATGTATGTTTCACCGCACGAGCATTCCGCTTTATATACTACTGAGGACTGGTGATAGTTTCTGTCCTTGAGTTTAAATAGGCTTTTAATCTTTCTAGTTTGCCATAGAATGATAAACATGTACTTTCCATCAGTTAGATTATTAAGTTTCTTCAGAAAATGGCGAGAGAGCTGTTCATTATCCGTACAATAGGGTAGTTTTACGAAAATTTTCTTGCGTTGAACCTCATCAAAAAGATAGTCCGGGATTAGCTTTTCTTCTTCCTCCTGTTTGCGTAGAAAGTTATTTATRGWAGATTGGATGAAACTTTTAGGGTATCCAGCTTGTAAAAAGACATTAGTGATCGTGTTTACAACTGAAAACTGTATTCTTTGTAACATGACACAGTAAACGCTTGAATAGTAGCTTGGATGCCAATGGTGGTAATTTGTTGTTAACATAGATTTCATCGATGATATGGTCGATGGTTTTGTCGAGGGGGACTTCTGTGAATAGTGATGAGACGTCATACGACACTAGTATTTCGTCTTTCTCTAGCTTGCGATCTTCTAAACGAGCGGCGAAGTCGGTGGTGGTTTTGATGTTGTATTCGTTATCTGTGAGAGGCATTAGGTACGATGCAAGGTGTTTTGCTGTCTCGTAGTAGTAAGTGCCGGTGGTACTGACAATAKGGCGTAGTTTCAAGTTCTCTTTATTAATTTCGTCCGTGGTTTGGAATTTATGGGTCTTTGCTGTGCCATAGAGGAAAGCAGGTTGATTAGATGTTGGCTTAATYTTGTCTAATGGCAGTGTRGACTTGAAATTTCTTGTCAAAAAGCTTTGGAAGTTTGTAAGATCTTGTAGTGTAGAGTCCGTAGTTTCGGAGTATTTCCCTTTGTTGATGCCTTCTTTAATCATGTCTTCGAGTTTTGATACATACAGGTTTCTATCCATGATGACTACAGACGAGTCTTTATCCCCGGAAAGTATCACTATATTCGGGTTGGCAGCTAGATTATGTAGGACCTTGTAAGTGTAATCTGGTTTCTTGTTGAGGTTGTTGAGGAATAAGTTATTGTGGACTCGTAAGAAGTGTTTAAAATCTTCTTCCTTATGCTGTGGGATGGAAGAACGTGTCTGTGTGAACAATTTCTCCATTTCTGATGTAAGGTCGAGTTTGATGTACTTGTTCTTGTTTATAAAGCTGTGATCAAGGCCATAGCGTAAATAGTGTAGGGCAGAAGCAGAAATCTCTTCGTCAGTCAGGTTGATGACTGGAACATTGTATTCACTTGTAGTGGCATTTTTATGTTGTTTTTGTTGTAAGTTTTTAAGTTTTTTGTTTTTGGTACGAAGCGAGAAGAGGCGATTTTGTTTGAGAGATTGGTGGACTAAGCGTTGAAGTAGTTTAAGAGCTCCAGGGCCGTGTTCAACACGAATGGTTCGATTGATGTTAAATTGCYCAGCCATCGTGTTACGAAGGTTATTCTGATGATCAGCTAAGGTAGACTTGAGAATGGTTTTCACGGCAGCGTAATTGTCCTTCTCGTTTTTGAAATTGCCTTTGACTTTCGCGAACGTTGGAGTAAGTTGATGGAATAAACATTTCTTAACAAAACCAATGCTAGCAGCAGTAATAGAAATGCTGCTAGCAGCAGCAATAGAAATAGATAATAATTATTAATATTATTAAATCTACCTTGGCACAAACCTGTCAGTACTACTATTAAAGTGGAAAAATAGGAAAATTCATCAGTCAAGAGGTGTATATCACGTTATTTCCTGTAGATATTATTTTCAAAACCCCTCAAAAAGATAAAATTTGCTCTAGAAATATAGTTATGAGAGCTTCATTCCCTGCAGTTTTAGCTTAAAAAGCGTACAATCAATGATTATTGTAGAAATTTATACGCGATGCATTCGCAGTTTTGTTGTTGCAATCGAACCTCATCACGCGGCCCTCTATTTAGCAGTCATCCTCCATTTAGTATCGACTATCATGAATTCCATAAAATTCCATTATCATATATATTTGTGTAAATTAACATGACCAGTCTATTAAACAACCAACCGGTCACATGSCTTTCCGCCGAGGTGACCACTTAGTCAGAAGTTTTGATTCCACAATGGATGACCAATGAATTGCTCTCGTTTATAATGTCATAACACAAAGTAACAAGATGTATCTTCTATCAAATGACAAACTTAAAATTGTAGAATAAGTAATTGCTTTTACAAAATGGTGTGTCTGACTGYGTCATCCCTTAGCTTTCCCGGTCATTCCTTGTTATTTTGCGACACTATGCCTACCGGTCCAAGATGGCGGCCAAAACCGTCACCTCATCTATTTACTGCAAAAATAGAAGAATTTAAAGAAAGTGTTGATTTCCTGCCGATTTAGATGGCACCTAGTAAAATGTTGAGAAAAACGATTTAACATGCGTTTTTGTGCTTTGCTTAAATGGAGTAGAGGAGAAGAATAAATCCCATGTTTTTTTATTTCTCGAAAAGAAATCACTGATCGACAATACTCCATTTTCGACTTCAAAGCGAACAACCACTTGTTTTGTTTGAAAACAGATCATGTCTTGATGTGTAGAGGCCTTACCAAACACGCGCGAAAGACCACGAGAAAATGTSGTCATTACATTCTACAACAGCCTTGAAAATTTGCAACTTTTTTTCATTTTGAAACTAACCTTGCATTCGCAAAGGGCTAAGGTTTTTACCAAGCCTTTTTGGAATACAGGATTAGCCTCGACTCGCCGTTATTAACATGCAAACTGTAGGGGCTATATTGTAATTACGGCATTTTTTCGTGCTATCCTTTGTTTCCGGAAAGAGCCAAAAGAATCTGCGTTTTTTTTTTTTTAGACATTTTTATTTTTTCGTCAATTGTCTTTTCCAATAGTGTTCTCTTTACTTTCTCTCATATCAGTTTTTAATTTTTCGCCGTGTTTCTTTATTATTTCACTTGGGTTTCGCGGGGATTTCCGCGACCACATAACACCGGAAGTGACTGATCATTGTTTGAGAAAAATTCAAAAAACATTGACACAAAACGCTGACCAAAACCATTACAGATCATCATGATCATGTAGCATCCTAGTAACGGGCTCCTACGAAAACTCCTTCTTAAACAAATATCTCTTCTTCCTTTGTAAACCTTTATTTTCATTTATTTGTAAGCTCGTGAAGTATCTTTCTAACAGAAGAAGAAAAGTATTACACTGCATTATTGCAGGTTGTAACCGACGCCGCCTGAAGGGCTATTTTGTTTTTAAGCAGGGATTATTTCGTCCGTGTGGTTCCGAATGAGTGACTTTTTCAATATTTGTCATATAATACCCCATTATGTCTTATAATTAATTTACATACAATTGGCACATATATTCATGATTTTCGATACTTGATCGGTTCATTGACTACGAACAAAGCATTGAACCGAGGCGCCAAGGTACACTGAGCGCAGAGCTTTTCTTTTATGCTTACTGTACCTTGACGCCTCGGTCCAATGMYTTGTTCGCGGTCATGGAATATTGTGAATAGGTACCGTAACTCACGTCCTCACGATTATGAACTCGAAGACAGCAAACTTGCCGGTTTTTAAGCCTAGGAAACAATTTAATTTCAGTAATTTTAAATGAAGTAATTGCAGGTAGAGTGCACGAAAAGGAAAGAAAAGGAAATTGTCTGTTTATACCTTACTGAATTAGCTGATAACTAAATCTTATTAGTCGCTAAAATTTGTTAAGAATTGTTTCACAGTTTTATGTGGGATAGTAGTCGTTAMCCCCAAAACCAGAACAGATACTCCAGAAACCATCAACCTTCATGATTACGATAGACCAAGTTAGTTTATTTAGTGTGTTGAAAATTTCTTTAACAAGCCAGTGATTGAGCGTAGAGAACAAGTCAGGGAGATTTTCAACAGATATAATTCTTTTCTAACATTTTTTTAGAAGTCAAATCCTAGCTATAGTCCCACACTTTTTGTATACTGTTAGCTTTTTA